GGAAAGCACTACGTATTTTGTATTCTTCATTGATTTTACCATACTTAGAGTATGGCGTTGAAAACTGTGGAAATACATACAAAAGCTCACTTCAACCATTGTATATATTACAAAAAAGAGCGATAAGAATTGTGCATAAGTTGGGGTATAGGGATCACACCAATGTAGCTTTCATACAGTCTAAATTGTTAAAGTTTTTTGATTTAGTGGGATATAAGACTGCTGTGTTTTTGTATAAAGCCAGGAACAATTTATTACCTGGTGGAATTCAAAAACTATTTAATGAAAGGGAAGGGGGATACAATTTAAGGGGTCAGTTAAATTTAAAAATTCATGCTATACGTACAACCAAAAAAAGATTTTGTATTTCCATAAGTGGGGTAAAACTATGGAATAATTTAAGTGTGGACATAAAAAATAGTAATAGAATTGATGAGTTTAAACATAAATATAAAGGTATGTGTCAATCAAGATATATGCAAGAACAGGCTTAATGATTAATTAGATGGAACATTGTGGGTGTGGTGTATGAATGTTAACACTTTGTAATAATTCTTTAGTATATTACTTGTGTGGTGTAGAAGATAATTATTTATGTAGAGATACTGCTTGCAAACCAATGATGGTAAGATGATGTCATGGGGTAGGACTGGATAAGTCTGACTTCTTCCTACTCCATTCAAGCATGTACTAGGTATAAGCAAATTGATATTGGACTAGCATTTGTTGGATATGTGTAAAATTATGTGTGTTGACATGTCAATTGTTTTTACATGCTTGAAAGAATAAATCAAATCAAATCAAAGGATAACTCTCACTCATACACTATTAGACTACTAATACTGCAGTAATGCAGTAGTGCTAATTTTTCACAAAGAAGGCTTCCTGATGAATATCCCACACGAATTTAATAGCTATGATGAAACATGTTCTCCTCCTTAAGGCAGTAATAATCCTTAAGCAACAAAAACGTATTACCACACACAAATTCAAGAGTAGTAAACTGGGTATTTGATTAAACAAAAAGGTACTAAGTCAAATTCATATACATGATGCTCCATTTGTTTGAGTCGTGTACAATACAAGGTTGCAAGTTTTTTTTCTGTAAAACATGACATTAAACGCATCACTTCCTGACTAAATATGCTGGAATTACAATAATGAACTTCAGCAACAACACCTTTAAAATGTTAATTCACCCCTGCCAAGCTGTCATTCTCCAGTGAGTCATCGTATATCACCAGTGTCCGTCTGTTGCATTTACTTTATGTATAATGAATTTGTTTTTCCCCACGGAACTGCAACGCAGCATGTGACCAAATCAGCTGATACAGAAAAAAAGAGAAGGCGCGAGCGGGACGGAAGGCCGTCTTCTCGTATGACGCATGGTTCATGCTACGGTACGCCATTTGTGTCTAGGAGCAAAAAGCGCGGACAGTGGTGATAGTCGCATAACAAGAGGTACGGTTCATTGAGACTGGATCACATTGCCTACGTATTACTCAGGATTCTTGTACTGTAACGATAAATGACTTTCTGTAGTGTTTTAAAGCAGTGTTACAGCATGATTAAATAGCCTAAGAGATCGACGTTAGCCTCCTTTTTGGGCCTCTCTGCTGCCGTCGTTTTCCAAGCTTTGCAGCGAGCTAGACCCGCCTTATCCCCGCTGTGATTGGATGACGCGGCTGATCTAGCAATTTAATTGGATGCGTTGTGCATATCTCAACACAGTTTGGGAACACGTTGCTAGTTAGCATGTTAGCCGTGGTAGGAAGAAGTGGTATCCACAACAAATTAGTTAACCCAGTTTGTGTCCTGGTGCAAGGGTCATTTGGGACATGAAAAGAGATTTTATACAATATGTTATAGTGCAACACTGGAGGTTTTGCCTTGTGTCGTTACAATTTCCAACGCCGAGTCTAAAACCTGTTCTGGTGACTTAATATTTGCTACTTATAAACTAACCAATATCGGACGCCTGGTAGTTATGGTTGGGATTTCCGGAAATTCGCCCAGTTGTCTTCAGAGCCCTACTAAAAGGCGGCGTCGAACCTGTAACGTTAAGGCAGATAGAGCATTTGTTATTTGTTTAACCTACACCATTGTCATCTATTAGTGCACAGTCCCTTAGTGGAGGCGTGAAACCGAACTGAACTCCCAGTTAAAACCATGGAAGAGACCGAATAGCCTGTGTCATGAATTTATAATTCCCATTTTCTTTAGCATACACCAAGCCTGTCGTTGGCGATCAAATTGGTGGCTTATCACAGAAACATCTGCTTTGGGATAATTGTCCTTCTGGGTATCCTTTAGTCGTATTATGTCAAAATCGACAGAGGATGGCGCTAGTGAGCATAATGGG